TTGTGTCTAGTGCCATGAAACAGCGACAGAATTGGGACGAGACATTAATGATGTACATAACATAAAAGAGACTCAGCCAGTGATGAGGACTGAATCTGTGAATATTTGTGAAATAACTGGTGCAGAATATAATCGCTCATGAAGGAAGCTCAAGTTGTTTGTGTTGTGATCTTACCTTCATGTATCCTCCAGAGTCCGGAGTGAGAGCTGCTGTACTCCAGGCTGGAGTTCTTCCCTTCATCCACATCTATAATGTACCAGTATTCAGTGCCGATGGACACGGCGAGCAGGATGAAGCTGAGCAGCCCGCACAGACCCGCAGAGATCACAACTGACCCGAAGTTCATCTTTATCAGCGAGAAAACCCCTCTTTTCAGGTCCTCTAAAGCCCAGTGTGTTCAGACACATTAAAGCACATGATTCCAGCTTTATTTCTCCAGATGTTTCCAGGCTGAAGGAAGAAGCAGCTCTCAGCAACAGCTGGATGAGGAAACCGCAGGGTTTTTCTCACATCTCTCCTGCACAGCTGTATGTGGAGAGAGAGCAGAAGCTCTGAATGCTCTCATACTCTCTCACCTCACTCTCGCTCTGATCATCAGCGACAAGGTGCTTTCTTTCCTTTCTTTGCAAATAGATTACTGTCTATATAGTGTCTTGTAAATACAGTAGATATTTTGTTAACACAGCTTGCAGCTCTTTTATGTCAAGAGAGAGCACATTTATTACTAAAATCAACTGGTGAGTTACAGAAAAATTGAAAGTGCACAGCAAAAAAAAAAAAGACTTTCCCACTCCAGTATTTTTTCTTGCTTTCCAGTAAATATTCTCAAATCAAGCTACATTTACTTGAGTTGCTAAAAAACATAAGACATTAAGCCTTTTTTTATATGAAAATTAAGTGCGTTTTTGCTGACAACAAGAAAAATATCTGCCAGTGGGGTAAGAAAAAATAAAATAGTTTCCCCTTTGAATTAAGTGGTGTGTGTGTGGCAGATTTTTTTCTTATTTTAAGCTTAAACTTAATTTTGATACATTTTTCAAAAAACATGACTTGCTCCTGAAGTAAATAAAGGTGTCTTGATTTTTAAAAAATTGTAAAAGAAAACAAGGCAAAAATACATAAGAAATATATAAATAAGAGTCTTGGTTAGTCTAACGCAGTAAACATTGCAATTTTTTTTCTTTTTTTGTGGGGGTGGGGGGTGAGAAGATTAGATAACAGTGTTAGTGGGTCATTCTTTTATAAATAAAAAGAAAAGAAGTAGATGTAATAAAAAAGAATACAACGCTAGAGTTAGAGGCTCCATTTTTTTTTATAAAAACAAGTAGTAGAATAGAAATAGAATAGAAATAGCAAGTGTTAGAGAGTCATGTTTTTTATATAAATAAAAAGAAAACAAGTAGAGAAGATATAAACAGAATAGAGAGTGTTAGTGTTAAAGGGTCAAGTGTAGATGGAACAGATGTGTTTTTAGCTGTTTCTTGAAGATGGTTAAGGACTCAGCTGCTTGGATTGAGTTGGGCAGGTCATTCCACCAGGAGGGAACAGTTAATGAAAAAGTCTGTGAAAGTGATTTTGTGCCTCTTTGGGATGGCACGATAAAGCGACGTTCACTTGCAGAACGCAAGCTTCTAGAAGGCACATAACTCCAAATTGATGAACAGAGGTGTGACATGCGTTCTTTTTGTTTCATTAAAAATTTATATTGCTGCCGCGTTCTGGATTAATTATAAAGTTTGAAGACCTGCCAAGAGAGCATTGCAATAGTCCAGCCTGGACAGAACAAGAGCTTGAACAAGAAGTTGTGAAGCATGTTCTGAAAGAAAGGGCCTGATCTTCCTAATGTTGTATAAAGCAAATCTGCAGGACCGGGCAGTTTTAGCAATGTGGTCTGAGAAATTCAGCTTATCATCAATCATAACTCCAATGTTTCTGGCTGTTTTTGAAGGAGTTATGGTTGATGTGCCTATATATATATATATATAATAAAATATTATAGATGTGCCTATATATATATATATATATATATGTATGTATATATCAGTCATATTTTATTGTATATTTGTGTTTTGTGATAACTCCCGAGACCCTGGGTGCAATTTCCAGAGAATGCAAGAATTGATAACATGTTTACATTATTGCATTGTAAATTGCTTTGAAGTCTAATATTATCAAGAATTAATGTTGACTTTAAAATAAAATAAAAAAAACCTTAAACCTAATATTAGATGTATTAACCTAAAAAAAACAAACACATATTCTTCTGGTAAATTGAAATGTATTGTTTAGTGCTTACCAAAAAAACAAAAAAAACAACACTCTTGAGTTCTCTCCTTTACCATCCATGGAACCTTTTCATTCCACAAAAGGTTCTTTATAGTGGAAAAAGTTCTTTAGATTATTAAAATGTTCTTCACTCTAAGAAAAAAATGGTTATTTTAAGAACTGTTCACTGAAAGGTTCTTTGGGGACCCAAAACTGGTTCTTTTATGACATCATTGTGAAAACCCTCTTTTGGAACCTTTATTTTTAAGAGTGTATTGAAATGCATCTTTGTCGAGTTGATTTTGTTTCTCATGAATCATCCTCAGTCTTCCTCGTCTGATATTTCACAAATACAAACTTCTTTTTTTTTCATCAACATTAAACATGGAAAGGAGAGATAAACACTGTTTTCACAAACCATATTCAGATTGGTTTTATTTATTTATTTTAACAATACAATAAAATAGCCCAAGATAAGAAAGCCAAATGAACCTGTAATTTACTCTTTTTTTTGGTGATTATATTTAATTATTTTACAGTTTGTAAAATCTTTTAGCACCACCTTGTACCACCTAAAAAAAAAAAAAAGAACAATCCTCAATACACAATCAAGTGCAATCCCATTACTGTCACTTCATCATATACAGGAGTTCAACAGTCAGTGGAAATCTTCAATGCAGCTCAAAGCAGTGCCAGTGACAGGATAATAGACAGTGTACACAGTACATAATCAGTTATAGCACGGCAATATACAATATAAATACATAGAAAATATATCAAATGATGTAAGTATAAGTTGTGGTGTAGAGGATGGACTGTGAGACTGATAAAGCGCAGTGCTGATGAGTATCTGAATGAGGGAGATCTGCTGCTGAAGAACCTGATGCTGATGTTGATAACAGCGAGAAGCTGGAGTCTCTGGAGTCAGACATTAAGACACACCACAGTGAGAGAGAAAAACAACTAACAACAAAAATATCTCAGAAGCAGCCTAGTCTTACAAAAAGCCTGGCAATGAGTAAAGACGAGCAGTAATAATGAGCAATAATGACTGACAACTACAAGATGGCGCGATTGTTCTCTTTTGGTCATGATTGTGTAAATGAATCTAGTTTCAATGACGGACACAAGCCACAAGATGCAGCGTCTGATCATCTTTCTTTCAGAAGCTCATTAAAATCAATCAGTCGATCAGTAGATGTCGTCTGGATGTTGATGTGATTCAGCTGAAAACAGCTCAACAGAAGACGATCCAGTGTAATGCAGCTCAGTTTGTGTTGTTATCTAGTGCTGTCATTTTATTGTTACTGAAAGTTACGTGTCTTTCAGACCATAACTAAAGAGATGCTGCACAGAACTAAAGTGAAGAAAGACGAGTCTGATCCACAAACCTGCGTTGAGAACTTCATGAAGAAATACTGGAGCAACACGATAACTCAACAACCAAAAGTTAAACTTAAGAGAATCAATGAAAACAAAACTTCAACCTCATCTTTCTCGCATCAGAAACAAAGCAGCAGTCACACATTTACAGAAAGAAACACCAGCACATCACACTGATATTAATGACCAATAAGATGATCTTCACACCAACATCAAATAATCACAGCTCTCTCTCTCTCACATCTCAATTTTGAAAACTTGACGCTTATGCCTGGTTTTGTGCTCCAGGGTCACATATAAAGATGTGACCCTGGAAAATTGAGATTTATATGTCATCTGAAAACTGAATACATAAGCTTTCCATTGATGTATGGTTCATATAGGACAATATTTGGCCGAGATACAATTATTTGAAAATCTGGAATCTGAGGGTGCAAAAAAAATCAAAATACTGAGAAAATCGCCTTTAAAGTTGTCCAAATGAAGTCCTTAGCAATGCATATTACTAATCAAAAATTAAGTTTTGATATATTTACAGTAGGAAATTTACTAAATATCTTCATGGAACATGATCTTTACTTAATAATAATAATAAAGTAAATTAAATAATTAAGATATTATGGGCATAAAAGAAAAACGATCATTTTGACCCATACAATGTATTTTCGGCTCTTGCTACAAACAACGACTTAAGACTGCTTTTGTGCTCCAGGGTCACAAATATATAAACTAGCTATTTATAAAAGCAATAGAAGTTGATACAATTTCAAAATGATGTTGATGCAAATTCTGAATTAGATAAGGTGTGTGTGTGTGTGTGTGTGAAAGAGAGAGAGAAACTGCTTTTGGTTTTTAAGTTCTTTATTAGTTATAAAGCCAAGTGAACAGCATCATACACAAATAGATTACATATCAGAGGACTAAATGTGTTTTTGTTACAGACAGAGATGTGTGTGTTAGTTAGTTTAATGTTTAATGTGACACAGAGACACTGAAGAGTTGTAACTATTAAGTCTAAATCCAGCGTGTAGAGGTTGAGTGAATGTGTGTGTGAGTGTGTGTAAGTGTGTGAGTGTGTGTGTGTCAGAGATGCTGTAGAAGGACAGAGAGCCGGCCGACTCGTCCAGAAACACTCCTACTCTCTTACAGGAGTCTGAAGCAGCAGAGATCTCAGTGAAGTTACGATTGATTCGGACAGTGAATCTGTGATCAGAGCAGATCAGACTCCAGGAGTTCACATTACCTCCAAACACACTGTCATCACTCCTTCCTTTCCTCTTGATTTCTTTATAAGCCACTGATATATGAACATAATCTCCACTCCATTCAGTCTCCCAGTAACAGCGTCCAGTCAGACTCTGAAGTTACGATTGTGACGGACAGTGAATCTGTGATCAGAGCAGATCAGACTCCAGGAGTTCACATTACCTCCAAACACACTGTCATCACTCCTTCCTTTCCTCTTGATTTCTTTATAAGCCACTGATATATGAACATAATCTCCACTCCATTCAGTCTCCCAGTAACAGCGTCCAGTCAGACTCTCTGAACACAGAACCTGAGGGACATCAAATCTGTCCGGATGATCAGGATATGACTGTCGCTCAGAGACACACGTCACCTTTCTGTTCTCCTCAGACAGAACGAGGTGTTTGCTTGCTGTGTTTGGATCCAGTGTGAGATCACAGGCGTCTGAACACAACACACACATTACTACACACACATTACAACACACACATTTACAACGAAACTACAAACAAGAAAACTCTGTCTGATTGAGGACTTACATCTTTGAGGTCCTGCTGTGATCCTGAACTCTCCTCCATGATCCACACTAGAAAACACACACACACAGACACACTCATGTAGTACATGTAACAGCTGCATGAATGAATGTTTGTTGTGCAAATATGCTACAGAAGGATTAAGATTAAATAGATTTAAGAAAAAACATTTTGTGATTTGTTTTTGTGAGTCTTTATTTCTGCAACTATCTTACAACTGTAACTGATCCACACAAATCTAACGAAAAGAGCAAGAGTTCAGAGAGAAAGAGAAACACATCATTTCAGCTATCAAGTGTTACCCAAAAATGAAGAGGCTCAGAGTGTAATTCATTTTAATGAAAAAAAGGCTCATAAAACTGTATAAATATTGCAAAGTATCATAAAATAATGTTTTTTATGAGTTTTTTTTTTTTCATTCAATTTAATTCAGATCTGAGCCTCTTCATTTTTGGGTCACACTTGGTTCTTGAAAAGTTTTTTTTTTTTTTTTTAAGGAAAATCAATGTAATATATTTTTGTTCAATAATATTTTCTGATTATTATTGAGAATTTTGAGGGGATTTTATGATACTATTAAATATTTATACCATTTATTTCAACTATTTTTCTATTCAAATTAATTCAGATCTGAGCCTCTTTATTTTTGGGTCACACTTGGTCCTTGAAATGTAAGTTTATTTTTTTATTTATTATTATTATTATTTTCCCCCTGAGGAAAATCAATGTCATGTATTTTTGTTCAATAATATTTTCTAATTATTATTTGGAATTTTGAGGAGATTTTATGATACTATTAAATATTTATACAATTTATATTAACTATTTTTCTATTAGTTCACAGAAAACATCTTCTGATGCACGACCTTGGACACATCATCTGGCTTTTGTCCTTCCCTAATGAAGTAAATAGCCTTGGCTTCAACTTGGGTGTGTCGGCTGTCCTTGATCCCCTTACTGATTGCCTCAGCGATGGATTTGAGGACCTGGTCGTGCCTCCATCGATACCGGCCCTCACCCAGCGCCTTGGAGCAGCTGCTCAGGATGTTTTCTAATGTCCCTACTTTGGAACAAAGGGGGCATGCAGGTGTTTCTATTTTGCCCCATGTGCACAGGTTGAATGGACATGGGAGGACATCATAGACCCCCTGAATCAAGAACTTGATTCTCTGGGGGTTCCACTTCCAGATGTCCTTCCAAGTGATACTCCGCTCCATCGCCTGCTCCCACTTCATCCAGGCGCCCTGCTGCCGCATGGCCACTGCTCTGCTGGTTCACTCTTCCTCGACTGAAGCTCGCACCTCCTCCTGTACCAGCCTCTGCCTCTCCTGTCCGCTGGCAGAGTCATATCGGGTCGCTCTTAGGCTCCCAAGTCCGGCTCTGCCTTGCGCCACTGTTCCAAGGATGGCCTTGTGCTTCAGTCGAGTTTCTGCTTGCTGGACTGCCTCGGCTGCCCTCCACTTCCTTCCTGTCCTCACAACAATCCCTGCGCCGGACACTTTGGCATCTCTGGATCCAGAGTACTGCAGATGTTCCCGTGCAACGATGAACTCCTCCCTGACTGAGCTAAAAGGGAGCCTGAGTTTGTTGGTTTTCCCATATAGCCCGATGTTACTTAGGCTATGTGGTAGACCCAGCCATCTACGCAGATAGCTGCTCACCTTTTGCTCAAAACCTTCTACCACAGTCATGGGGACCTCATAGATAAGCAGAGGCCAGAGGATTCTTGGGAGGATTCCATGCTGGTAGACCCAGGCCTTGAATCTTCCAGGGAGCCCAGACTTATCAACTGTTCTCAACCATCCCTCCAGGTCAGCACCGGCTGCCTTGATGGAGTCTCTGGCACTCAGTCTACAGTTGAAGACCTTCCCAAGGCTCTTCACCGGACTCTCAGTGACTGACGGGATCTGGTATTCTCCCAGCCTGAAGCGGAATCTGTCTGTAACCTTCCCCTTCTTTAGAACCAAGGACCTGGACTTTGTAGGTTTGAAGCTCATGCGTGCCCATGTCATGAGTCTCTCCAGCCCCTGAAGAATCCACCTGGCTCCTGGTACCGCCGTTGCTGTCACTGTGAGGTCGTCCATGAAGGCTCTTATGGGCGGTTGCCTTACTCCGGACTTACTGAGGGGACCTCTGCACTCCGTTTCAGCTGCCTTGACCAGCATATTCATCGCCAGCGCAAATAGGGTCACTGAGATGGTGCAGCCAGTGATTATCCCCACCTCCAGCTGGTGCCAGTCAGATGTTAGCTGGCCAGTAGTAACTCTCAAGCTGAACTTGCTGTAATAGTCCAGTATGAGATCTTTCACCTTCTGCGGTACATGGTGTTTCTCCAGTGCGACCTTCACCAGCATGTGGGGTATTGAGCCATAGGCGTTGGTGAGGTCCAGCCACAGTACTGCCAGGTCCCCTCTACCTTCTCTCGCTTCCCTAATGAGCTGGGTTACCACGCCCGTGTGTTCCAGACAACCTGGAACTCCTGGTATACCTCCCTTTTGCACAGACGTGTCGTGTAATATATTTTTGTTCAATAATATTTTCTGATTATTGAGAATTTTGAGGGGATTTTATGATACTATGCAGTATTTATACAGTTTATTTGAACTATTTTTCTATTAAAATTAATTCAGATCTGAGCCTCTTTATTTTTGGTTCACACTTGGTACTTGAAATGATAGTTTTTTTAATGTATTTATTTTTCCCCTGAGGTAAATCAATGTCATGTATTTTTGTTCAATAATATTTTTTAATTATTATTTGGAATTTTGAGGGGATTTTATGATACTATTAAATATTTATACAATTTATATTAACTATTTTTCTATTAAAATCAATTAAGATCTGAGCCTCTTTATTTTTTGTTCAAGCTTGGTACTTTTTTTTTTTTTAAGGAAAATCAATGTAATATATTTTTGTTCAATAATATTTTCTAATTATTATTGAGAATTTTGAGGGGATTTTATGATACTATGCAGTATTTATACAGTTTATTTGAACTATTTTTCTATTAAAATTAATTCAGATCTGAGCCTCTTTATTTTTGGTTCACACTTGGTACTTCAAATGATAGTTTTTTTAATTTATTTATTTTTCCCCTGAGGTAAATCAATGTCATGTATTTTTGTTCAATAATATTTTTTTATTATTATTTGGAATTTTGAGGGGATTTTATGATACTATTAATCATTTATACAATTTATATTAACTATTTTTCTATTAAAATCAATTAAGATCTGAGCCTCTTTATTTTTTGTTCAAGCTTGGTACTTTTTTTTTTTTTTTAAGGAAAATCAATGTAATATATTTTTGTTCAATAATATTTTCTGATTATTATTGAGAATTTTGAGGGGATTTTATGATACTATGCAATATTTATACAGTTTTTATGAGCCCTTTTTTTCATTAGAATGAATCTTCATTTTTGGGTCACGCTTGGTTCTTGAAATGTGTATTTTATTTTTTTTTTAATATATTTCTGTTCGATAATATTTTTTTTTTACTATTATTGTGAATGTGGATTTTATGATACTTTGAAACAATTATACCGTTTTTATGAGCCACACTTTATATTTGAATCGTAAAATTCTAAATAATAATCAAAAAATATTATTGAACAAAAATATATTAAATCGATTTCCCTGAAAGAAAGAAATAATCAACAGTGTGAATATTTGACACAAACAATAGCATTTGTCTCTATTTACAGAAACCAAGTCTCTCTGACTGAAGAAACGAGAGAGCAACCAGACCTTTGTGTTGTGTTATTATCATTTATTCATATTAGGGATGCACCGATACCGATACTGGTATCGGTATCGCGCCCGATACTGGCCTCCTGTACTCGTACTCGTACTCGTTAAAATGCCCCGATACCAAACATATCATTATATAATCATTAGTTATTAGCCATTTATATAACTTATCGTTTGATTATTTGATCAGTTATATCATTTTAATTGTTTTATCATTTATTCACTTATTATTTGTATTATGCTTCTATATTTCATATGATCTTATCTTCATATGGTCTCATGATTGTGGGATTCATGAACGGTTTTGTCTGTATGAATAAGAGAGAACGAGGATGGGATATTGTTGTACATCAGTTTGGTATAACACTAAATAGTTGAATAATAATAATAATAATAAATGAACAATTTTAACCAAAATATTTCTGATGACAAACATCTCATGAAGACCCCAGAGAATCATACCAACTCTTGGAGAGTGGGCCCCTGATGTCTCCTTTAAGCAATAAAGCTTTTGTGTCTGTGTGTGTGTGTGTCTTGTGTGTGTGTCTGTCTGTGTGTGTGTGTCTGTGTGTGTGTGTGTGTGTGTGTGTGTGTGTGTGTGTGTGTGTGTGTGTGTGTGTG